TATTTATTCTTTTATTTTTATATCTACGTGACTTTACCGAAAGACCCAAAGAATATGAATTCCTGCAGTCACGAAAGCGTTAAGTCAAGATTTAAGTGAGAAGGAAGTTCTAAGCGATGCCACCAAAACCCTGAATCTATGATTTCTTGAATAACCAGGGATATGAATGACTTGTCACAAGAATGTAAATACAATATATTTAAACTATTAAACTATTATTATTCTTTTTAACCAGGGAAGGCCCATTTGGCTATATAGCCCTCCTTCAGAAGTGCCCTGGCCACAAATGATATCACGTGGAAATGTACCCCAGCCAAATACTATAAATGCATGTTTCTAAATGTGGAGGGAATAACTGGAGAAAAATCCACGCGACCACGGGGAGAAAGACATGCAAATATCCAGGCGTCGGGGTCTGGATCGCACCCACGACCTCCTGTATACCGGGGGAGGTAGTTAACATCTCATTGCCACCGTGGCGCCCACCGAGCGATGCTGCTCCTGCTGCTCACAACAAAACCAGCTTCGTCAATAACGACACCGTGTGTGCCCTTAAAAAAAAAATGTTTCCACGAGGTGCCGTATCAGGCAATGGCCCTTCAATAGCAGTTCGTAGGGTCATTGCCGAGACGTCGCCCATGTTGTTGTTTTATTGTTAACGCCGCGGTGTTGTGACTGACGAACGCGCTGAGCGCACGGACTGGTTGTAGTTTTTGACACCGCCACTAAAGTTGCCCGTGAAATATAATTTACAATTATTTCCATTGAACGAAGTCAGTAAAGGTCCCTGCGTGGTAATCACAGTGCGTGAGCTCTGATACGCGCGGTTTGCAGTGCACTGCTCGTCGGTCAACGTAATATCATTTACTGCGTTGTCTCTTGAGTCAAAGTGATTCCCTGCTGCTCAGATCAGCATTGAGGCATTGGTGCTCATCTCCTGTTTACGGCCCTGAGCCAGTGGTGGGAATTGGACATTCCTTTGGCGGAGGCGAGTCTATCCATAGGACGACCACATTTGACTTTCCCACAGAGCGGTGTTCATTGTTATTAAACCCAGAGGGATGATGATGAATGGCTGAGTCAACTCAGTGATGCTTGTGTTGCAAGTCTGGTGAGTGCGTTGCTAAAGACTGCTTGGCTCATAGCCAATGTTCTTGTGTTGCGTGTTACTGGAGTAGACGCGGTTTTGCGTCAGTGTAAGACCCCCATTTCTTACCTATGAACATCCAGCAGTTCACCAGCATTGTTGTCAGCAAGCCGGACTTTGTTGATGATACACTGAATATTGAAGCCTGCACAGAGTGTGCGTGTGTGTGCTCCCACAAGGCTGTACGCCCAATGGGTTGTGTAAAACAAACTTTTGTTTTTACGTGGAGAGACAAATATGGGACGTTGCTATTTATTTTGGCAGATAATTCGGTTAGGTTGCCCGTTCAAATGTAACAAATCAAATAAACTCCACCTCAATTAAAATTAGCATTAATTCATGGGAAAGCAGGAGTGGTTTTCCTACGAAGAGACTGAAAACTGGCACAGGAATGTGGAATCTCCACAACTGGCTCAGGGCACTTGGCCTATGCTGGCTAAGGCAAGGCAGACACTCGCGAATCCGCATGAGCGAGCTCGGGGTTGGGGGTCGTTAGGGATCGGTTTGAAGTCGTCCCCCGCGTCGAGAATTTTGCCCAAAGTTCCGGGCTGCACCTCGCTTGGCTTGGGCGAACCGGGGCAGCTTTGAGAGAAACGGGCGTCTGTGGTTCCCCAAATTGTAAACATCTCCGTGGCCTTCGTGAAGTTGGTGAAGAGGAACGGGGCCGTAAAAGGAGAGGCTCGTGCGCTCACCTGCTCCCCACCGCCAGAGCAGCACAGCTGACAGCGCCATCCCACAAAGCGCAGCACGCTGCTTCTGTCGCGTGCAACGCGCGCCCCTACAGGGGGCCACCACGTGACACCACCCGGGGCCCACGAGCTACTGCCTGGGCGACAGGGAGCGTGGGGGCAGGCAGGGGGTGCCTTGCCTCCCCCCCACACGAGTTGGGTCCCCCTAGACAACCCACAATGACCGTGATTTCTGTTTTTGACAACAGTGTTAAAGAACAAAAATATATTTTGCAAAGGTGGAGCGCCCCAACATCGTTAAATGTTCGAGACCGCGATGTGATTAGGCAAGAGGAGCCGCGAGATACACATCTATTAGGCGAGATGCGACTGTGCAAGACAAATCAAATATTTGTGGCCCCCACCTGACCAATTGCCGCACCTCCTGTGCTGATGTCAGGACTACGCCACTGGATACAGGTTCAACAATGGGAAAGTGCTGCCAGCAATGCCCATTGTGTTTGCACCCTAGCACGAGCACCAAAAAGAGAAACACGCAGACGCCCTGTGTAGTCCTTGGGGCCAGTGCTGTTAGTGAGCGGTGTGGCCAACACCACGCTCGGTCGATCTTTGACTCACCAATGCTCATGTTTATACACTGCACGGGGTACTCATTTTAAGGCTGAGTCGACATAGGGGAAGTCCCGGTCCAGTTCAAATAATCACCACTGATGTTAGGACCAGCCGGGAAACAAAGTCGGTCGTCGAGGTCTCTAGCGCGCGTGCTAACCACTGTGCCACCACTCCACCGACTACACCACCACAGCCATCACCAGCACCCTCATCATCATCATCATCGGTTTCCGAGCAACTCCTGCCAGTGCTCTTTGTTGCTTCAGGCCTGACTCAGCAACCCGACACGACGTGGACTTGCGCTATCCACTACAGGGGTGAACTCGAAGCGTGATTCAGAATCCGATATTTAGGCCAGGATACGAAATATCATATCATGTTTGTCCACCGACGGTTCAAAGCAGGCTGCTGATGGGATGTGTAAAACAACATATTTTTTTATTTGTTTTGTTTGTGTGGAGGGAGAGACATGGGAATTATGAGGCGCAATTGTCTTCGTATTTATTTGGATTGCTGCTTGCGAGTCATTTACTCGAATCTGTCCACGGGGGGACCTTGCTGAAGTCCCCGGGCTGTGTCCGTGGGAGGTGGCCGCCCACGTGCTGCTGCTGCTGCTGCTCGCATTGCAGAGGCTGCATCCTCCACCCTCTGCGAGAACGCTCGGCCTGCGTGACCTACCTCGGCTGCTTGAGCAACGCGGCCTTTCAGTACTTGAGTTGCGTGGACTGGCTGCAGGGTGCAGTACCCACCGAGGTTGTAAAACATTGCGACGTTCAGTCGATTGATATTTGTCGGTTGAAACGCCTTTCTTTATGTGTGGTGTTTAGACGTGGGAAAATGCCACCATTGCTTCCCCAAACTCAGTAGAATTCCCCATTCCGCAAAGTCCCGTTGTTTGCTAACATTTTGGTCAGCTCTTTGCACGAAGCAGAACTTGGAGCTGCCTGCAGTTCGTCAAAACACGCTGCCGATGCAGCTCGCTCAGTAAATAGATGGCTCCAAGCCGCAGTTGCGTTCACAGCGCACACGGCGCACGCGGCACAAAGCAGAAGTGCACAGGGCAGTGGCGAGCGCTCGGGTTGGGAGAGATCGTGCAGCGCTTGACGCACTTCTCCACAATGCTGGCACCTGGCTTCAATTCGTGCCTATCCACCATCTGAGAACAATTGGTGCCTGCACCTGGCCTGAACTACCCGAGGTAAACTCTGCCCTAAAGCCGCTGTACCCGGTGCGGTGGGTGATGCGCTCAGCATCCACATCACCAGACCCCCTCGCACGCAATGCCAGCTACAATAGGTGCTCGCTGACAGCATTTGCCTGGCAGCCAAGAAGATTAAATAGGCCATCTGCGTTAACTTAAAACCTAGGTTCTATTAGCCAATACAGGGATCCAAACGTGTGCTTTTGGGAGTCACTTCGTTGTTTTTATGCAAAAGTTCTTGTCATGAACCCTCCGCCACCTGACAAACATTGTCACGTTTACAGATGTGAACGATACGTGCCAACGTGCGGATCGACAGAGCTCCTACTCTTCACCGGTGGCTTGAGACGTTTCGTCGCTGAATTTAAAATACATTTACAAGGACGTTTTGCTCGAACCACTTTGAGCTTCATCAGATGGTGAGCTTGGAAATCGAGTAGCCACGACTGCTGACGTCTGGCCTTTAAGTATCCGCCGTGACAATGTGCATGTAAGTTGTGTCGAGTGGTGGCATTCTGGTTAGAGGGCTCACCTCGGTGTTATTCCATTTAACCCGGTGAGTGCGTTTTGCCATTCATTGCCTTTTCCACTATGGTAATGGAAAAGGGGTGACTACCATTACTCTTAACGATTTAGTTGAAGAGCGATTTACAGACACGGGATACGAGACGTGACAGGCGATATTGCACACCACGCCCTGCTCCAGTAAATGCGATGGGATATCGATATCAGATTTTCTTTTTACAATATATGGATCACTTTGCGAATTTTTATTTGATCAATGCATGCTCCCTGCTATGGCATATGGATTAGAATTAAGGGCAGTAACCGAGAAACGGAACAAAAGCTGAACAAATATGCATGGAGAGTTGCTGCATGCCTGGAAGTACACAGATACACTGCAAGAGGAACATGGATGATAGCTGGCGTTAGAGACATCGTGTGAACTGTTAATACAAGTAAGTTGGCTTGGGCAGGACACTTCACTGGAATGATGACCGGTGGTAATGCAATGTAATGTAGTAATTTAAGAAACGCAAATTCATGCTAATAGCGTCTCTAATTGGCACTGCTGTCTGCTCACACTATGTTGATTAAATGAAATGCAATGGCGACCTGCTTCAGCTCATGGCCAGAAATAATGATGGCCCAATGGGTAATATCGATGTCGTGTGCTTCCTCCTCCCATGCTCCACACCCATCTCGTGATCTACCTCGCCATGGAATCTCACCCGCTGTGAATGTTGGATTCGATCAGTGATGTCTGATGTCCTCACAATGACTCTTAAGTTGACGTTGCAGCTGGATAAAATACATCAATCGGCGACTGTTAAAAAAACAAAGCGGTTGGTTTGCTTCTGCATTTGTGTCTTTATTTAAATGCTGCGTAGGCACCAACTATAAGCAATGGCGAGCCCTATCGCTGTCAACATGCATGCCCATTGCAGGAAGTGTTGCTGTGGCTGGGCTCTCTCTCTCACTCCGATGTGTGCATGTGTGATTGCATATCTGTTCACTGCTGCGATACAGCAGAAGCCACTTGGTAGGGAAGTACTCAACTGAACAGAACCAATTCTGCACATATGTTAAAGGCATTGTTACGATTGTTATACGTTTACAAGGTTATTATTTGCAGAAAAGGTTGGTTAATCAATACAATTTAAGACATAAGCTCCCCTGGGTTGTGGCTTATATCCATCTTCGACTGGGAGGGCAGCATAAGCCACACTTATTCCACTGATGGGTACAATTTATCCACGTGAAACAATGATGTTGCCACCATGCACATTTAAAAATAGGAAAACTTCACACAATTCAAGAATATGTTTAAACCACATAAGGGTTATATTCCTTGGGTCTTTCGGTAAAGCCACGTAAATAGAAAAATTATAATAAAATAAAAATATCACGACGTATCGATCGCAAAACAAGCAATCGTCATCAGGTAAAAAATACAGTGGGAGAGCTGCTGTTGCGATCGAAACGTCCTGATATTTACATATTTATTTTATTTCTATCTACGTGACTTTAGCGAAAGACCCAAAAAATATGAATTCCTGCAGTCACGAAAGCTTTAAGTCAAGACATAAGGGTTACTCAGTGACAACACCGTTTCAACATATTGCTACACTGCGCCAACACATACTATGTGAATGTTCACACTACAGCCACACGTTACCATTGGGATAACACAAATAATGAAAACAAATTGCTTCCATAATAACCAAAAAAAGATGTAGTTCATAGTCCATCATTTAGTCTGAATTTGGCAAAGCATACAATTACAAAACATCTGAAAAATAGCAGTCACAATTAATAATTTTTATAATATAATAATTTATCATAATATGATTTGGCAAATCGAATACAAATGAGTAGCCGGCTTCAATGGCGCTTTGTTTTTTTTTGAGTGGAATGCCACTGTAACATTAATCAATTTAACTTGCAACGTGCCGCCACACATTACTCACTCGCTCTCAATGAGAGAACAACTCAGAGGCACGGAGAGGAACCACAGACAACTGGGAAGGCAGCAGCCAGGTGATGAGCCGGCACCAACAATTTCCCAAGTTCTGCAGTCCCCTATATATGTTAAGATGTTTTCAGACAATTTATTAATGTCAATACACAGTTCATGGGTCAAACCCAGAGAGTTGGAAACCAGATTGTGTTAATACGTATGGGAGGAAACCCACATGTGTTACACTGCAGGGTTGCAGAGTTTATCTAATGTACGTCTCAGCCTTCCTAAGGACGCAACTCAAACATATGTAGAAACTGTTAAGTACTCAAAGATGCACGATTGGCATTGCATTGAGAGCCAGGAAGAGGAACATAGGACCCGGCTTTCGTAGCCATGGCAATGAGTCCACGCTTGGTTTTGGGTTAGGCCACGTGGTAGTTTTATGCCAAAATTCTTGTCATTAACCCTCCACCACCCGACAAGACTGTCACGTCATGAACAAGGAGACATAATTACTTCAATATGCATCCAGACCTGGCTCGAGAGTGGGGAAAGGGGGAGTGTGGATGTGGCCTCTGGGCGCTCCACTACCTTGACAGGTGCGAGCTGGCACGACGAGGCGACCAAGTCAATCCCTCCACTAAAACTTACGTGAGAGACTCTTTCTGCCGTCGATCACTCGGCGGCCGTCACTGCTAGCGCGACGCGGCCGACGATGACCATGACGCCATCAAACTCTGCTCATGACCTCCTGTCCCCCGTCACACGTGGGAACACATTAGGGACGTTGCATTTCGACTACCGTCGTGTTATCCGATTTGTTGAGCAATGGTGGAGCGATCGATTCCTTAAATAGTCAGAGAGAGGCCAGCTCATCACAGTTGCCTCCCGTGGGTGTGCGCGACCCCGCAGTTGGCAGGCCCTGCTCTAAATCTCGATGGGCTTGATGCTGGGCTTGCGGATGTGCCTCATTGAGGCCCCTGCCTCGCTGGGCTTGAACGGGGCCAGGGCTCCGTAGGGTCGCGGCACGGGGAGTCCCAAATCGTCGTCGGGGATGTAGCAATTGGGTCGCGGCTCGGCGGTGGAGGCCGCGCCGTCGCCGGCCATAGTCCGGTCCGCCGCGGCCGCCTCTTCCTGCGTGCGCGGAGGAGGAGACGGTGAAAACTGTGTCGTCGCTACGGCTCCGGATTCGCAGCAGAGAGAAAGATCCCCCGTATCACCTCAACAGACTTTTGTGACAAGTGCCATTTGCGATTAGCGCCTATGAAGGCCAGCACGGCAGTCGAGGGGGCGGGTGGCCAGCGCCCATGCACCACGCCTGGCCAGCCTTTGTCTCTATGGTGGCGTTGCTTACACGCCACACCGGGTACTCATTTGAGGCCGAGTCGGCTAGGGGAGGCCCCGGAACTGGTTCAGATAATGATCACCAATTTTGGCCGCGAGCGGGAATCAAACTCGAGTCGCCGGGTTTGAAGCACAGCGCGCGAACCGCAATGACGCTCTTCGCACCGTCGCTGACACCGAGTAGGCCATTATGTGCCTGCGCCACAGGCTAAATGTGGCAAATCTGAAAAATGACCCACAAATGACTCAATTGGGATATACAGAGCAATCGTTGCCCCCGACTGGCACACTAATCCCCGCTGACAGACCAGTGTTGCGTCATCTTGTGCCGCATAAGGACAGCTGCCGCTGAGAGTGCCCATTGAACGTTTGAGACCCGACGTGAGGCACTTTCCGTTGCTGAGGCAATTAAGCAAACGCCAGCTAAAATTATTCTTACTTCTTCAACTTATCATGATCATAATTATTATTGTCAACGTGACTTAGATGTATTATCATTGCCGCCACCGTAGTTATCAGCATTATAATCGGTGGCAATGTCAACACTTCATCATCTTTGTTGCTGGCCCCATTTATGATTGACATTGTCAACATCTTTTATGTTTATAGACTAAGACCACCTTCAAATCTGTGACCACCATCACCACAATAGTCACCATTACAATCATCAACATCATCAACTTACACGCTCACACATATTCTTTTATACAACTCCCGCAGATGAGATATGACTCCAGGAGACATAACACAGAATGTTATACATCTATGGATATGAGCTACAGTGTGCAGTCATTTCATGAGACATCACATTGTGAGTCTCAAGATTCTTTCTTTGCAGAAGGGATCTGCACGCATTAAGATGTTTGGCCAAGTCAACAAGAGTGTCTTTTGCACGTGTTAGGACACTAGAGCACCCAGAGAAAACCCACACATGAGGAGCTAATACTCAAAGGTCTTCACATGCACGCTGTTGCCACCTTGCAGTCTCATAAACCCATGTGATCCAAAACTTGCGATCCTAAAATGCACTTCTCTCTGCTGCTTCCCTCGACCTGCTCCACTGTGGAACTCCCTCCCATCATCTCTTCTCCTCAAGCTCTGACAATAATAACATCGCTCAATTCAAGAAACACGTTCCACTCTCATCCATTACCACTGCGACGTGGCCGTTTGTCGCTGGTCGCTTGACGGTTTGGGCCTTTGAGCCTGACGCTTAGCAACTCATGTCCATACAAAGGGAACATAACTCAAGAGACTTCTGATTGCGAGATGGAAATCCTCACATAGGAAGGTAAAATTTTGGCGTAGATATCAATTACATGTAAGAATGTTGAATTTCTTTTGCATTGTACGTAGCCAACCGTGCTCATCGGAGGTGCGGGGAAGGACAACAAACTAGACAACGGTGAACGCGGGGGGGGGGCTGCGTGAACCCGCGCGTACTCCTGTCCCCGCGGCCCGCGCCGCCGCCGCCCTCACCTTCTGCCGCGCCAGCCGCTCGCACCGGCGCCGGTGCTCGTCGCGGAGCGCGCTGCGCCACTCGCGCTCGGCGCCGTCGCAGGGCGCCAGCCCCTGGGCGAGTCGCGCGTGGCACGACTCCACCAGCGCCGCCCGCTCCCGCACCTCCTGCTGCAGGCGCAGCGCCGCCGCCTGCCGCATGGCCAGCTCCGACACGAGCGCCATGAGGCGGCGCGTGCGGGCGCGCAGGCGGCCCCGCGCCCCGTTCATCTGTGGGCACGCACCTCCCATTAGCGGCATTGGCTGCGTACCGCGGGGAAGGAGTTCGACATATCTACGTACGTACGGGCCGCGGGCGAGGGCATTTGGGGGCGGGTGGATCGCCGTGCCCTAAAAAAGGTACAGGCGCAGCCCTGCATTGTCCTGCAGGGCGGGGAAGAGGTGGGAGATATCACACTTTACCCCACCGTACGTGGCCTGTCGCCAATTAGCGGTGTACCCATTTATACTGAATAGACATTGGGAGAAATTAAAACCCTTGTCCCATAGTTTCAACTGCCGGCAATCTCTGAATTGCATGCCCGGCTGCGAAGTACAGTTGCCTTTTGAGAATTGAATCGTGAGTCCTATGGTACATGGGAAGGGGAATCGTGTGAGATGAGAGGGGACCGGTAGGTGGGGTAAGTTCACAGGCAGAGGGAACAAGAGGAGTACTCGAACCTTCCCAGCGAGCGACAAAGTGTCGTTGTGCCCCTCGCGCGCCTGTGCATCTGCACGCTCCGCCAGCCGAGACACCTGCTCCAGCACTAGCTGTTTCTCCAGCAGCTGTTCCTCCTTGTGCGCCAGCTGCTCCTCCAGCTTCACCCAACACCGCAAACGTGAACACGCAAAGCGAGCAAGCGAGAAGACAATGCCGACTTAGCCTCGCACATCACGGGGGCAGGTGCTCGTTAGTGAGCATTCAAAATCATTCGTGTCAATGCTCTTCATATTTCTTAGTGTATCCAGCCTTCAGATTGTGAGTCGAACACTCTATCCAGATCGCCACCCAGCCAGATATTAGAATACAACAAGGGTTTGATGATGCATATCAGTGAATATAATCTAACGGTGCATGCATTGAATTATGGTTTTGAGAGCTGATGATGGTGCACATTCCGCATTATAACGGTGTGCATTTCCTATGAAAACGGTGCCCGTTCTGCACTATAACGGTGCACGTTGTGCGTGGAAGAACCACGTCATATCGAAAACGCGTTGTGTGAACATTCGTTAAGTGAGGACTTACTTTATATCTTACAGCGAAAGCTTAATAATAAACTACTGTACAAGTGGCAACAGCATTGCTAATAACACAAGGGCCCCCACCTCCTCAGTTTTCCTGGCGAGCTCACTGGGGGAGAGGTCCTTTCCTTCGAGGAATCGGACCCTGCGGCCCTCGGGGTCCTCGAGCTGCCCCTCCAGCTCACGGATGTGGTCCTGGTACTGCAACAGCTGTGCAGGGCAGCAGCAACATCCACATGCAGCCGCCGCGTGATAACTCGGAACAGCAGCAGCAACGGGACTTGGAGAAATATATTGCAGCCAAACAATCTGGATACAGACTATGGCTGATGATGTCACACACTGATGATGATGATGATGAGCAACTTCGGTCTGCCCCAGTCTCTCAGATTCACTTGCCTGGGCAGGTGCAGGGGATCGGGCAAGGAAACCAGGTGAGGCAGGCCTTTGGCTGTCATTCAGTCGTTGGTCTAGAGTGCAGGGGTGGGGAACCTTTTTTCTGTCAAGGGCCATTTGGATATTTATAACATCATTCGCGGGCCATACAAAATTAAATTTATGTTGCTATGAAAAAAGCGCCTAGATTTATTGAATTTCGAGTCGTGCGGTTGCCTTGGCAGGGCCAGACTAAATTATTTTGCAGGCCTTATACGACTCGTGGGCCGGATGTTCCCCACCCCTGGTCTAGACCATCAGCCATCATCCCTTCTAGCAACGCAGGATACCTTTTTTGCAAAGCAATTTTAAATTGCAATTATTTTAATCAAGCATGGCTGATGATGACGATAAGTATTAGTGCCCAGAGCCACCCAATTGTGCCTGCCTCTTCCTGCACAACCGCCAGAGCACAGGCACCTGCAGGTGCAGGCCGATGAGCTGCTCGTCCAGCGTGCGCCGGCTCGGGCCGTCGCGGCGTGCCAGGCCCAGCTGCCGCGTCTCCTCGAGGCGCGCCATGGCCAAGAAGCGCGCCTCCTCCTCCAGGGCCTGCAGCGCCACGTGGCCCTCGCGTGCCGCCGTGTCGCCCACGTGCAGGCGCTCGTACAGCGCGCACACCTCGCCCTCGCGCTCCAGCAGCTGGGACGCCCTGCCACCGCCCCCCCCGCGCAGGCCCCAGCATGCGGTCAACTTCATCCGCACTCAATAGACAACCTCGAATAACGTCATCGTTGGTATCGTTGTGGAGAATATAAGTAACGAAGTAATTCTTTATTATTTTGCTACATTCTCCACAACGACGCTAACAGTTATGTTACGTATCATATTATTTTGCGTTGACTTAGCACCTACATCTAAGTGGCGCTGATCTGACTGAGCTCTCGACTCGTAATAGTAAAGCTTGCGAGTTCAATTCTTGCTCAAGGGTCACCTCAGTCCTTCATGACCCGAGTCAGGTTATATGAGCTTGGCATGGGCACTAGCTGTCCAGATTACCTTGGACCAGGCTTACCAGACTGGTGTGTTGCTATGGGCGTCTTGGCACGATGATTTATCACCGTCATAGTTTGTGTGCCACCTCTCCTGCGCATGACAGCGGAGCTGCCCAACCATCCGCATAGTTGAGGATCGTTTTTCACGACGAAGAGAAGGTAGGGTGAAAAGGTAGGGTGAAAAGGTGGGGTGAAAAGGCCGATTGAAGCAGATTAAGTGGTGATCAAGTGGTGGGGTGGCTTGGATATCGACCTTCAGTAGCGAATGCCAGGAAGATGAGGAAAAGCTCGGTGAGAGGGATGAAGGAAAGGGATCATTCTAAAACCGTGCGCGGGTGGTGGATTGTACCGGGCTCTGCGCTGACGCACGGCCTCTTCGTAGCGCGAGCGTAGCTCCCGGGTGCCGCTTTGCGCTCGCTCGACGTGGGCGAGCAGCCTCGCCAGCGTTTCCTGGCCGCGCTGGCGCCGCTCCTCCAGCTCTCGCCCTTCACGCCCGCACCGCGTCGTGTCCGCACGGGCGCTATCGCGGGACAGCGCCACCGTCTGGTGCTTCTTCCTTCGCTTCTGGACCATTCTGGGGCAGGTGGAGCCCGAGGACATAACAACAACAATAATAATAATGTTTGTCGCTGTTATCTGCTGTTATTCATGCAAATTGCATTTCAAAACGATGTGCTTGTTGTAGAGGTTCGCAGTTCGAATCCAGCAGGCCGCCCTGGTTATTAGTGCAGGAGTGTCAACCGTAAAAATACGCGCTGTCTGCTTCATGAGTGGACGTTAAAGATCCCCTGATGTCGTTAGAAATGAGCAGGCAATTGTGCGCTGGCATCATGGTCCAAATCTGCCAAATTATAAAAATCACACCGTAGACACTCAGTTGGAATTGCACATAACAGCAATCATCGCCCCGTACTTGCATACTAATGAATCACCTTGTGCAGTAGAGGGACAGCTGCCCCTGGGGGTGTCCTTTCAAATGTGTCAAGATGAGATGTTGTGAGAGTCACTTACCGCACACAAAGGGCTCTCTCTCGAATAGGCCCCAGAATAAAGTACGCTCAATCAAAAGCAACTTGCTAGCTGTGGTTGGGGAGGGGCTCACAGGGCCTTGCTGCTGGATGAGGAGACCAGGATCTCCAGCTCGTTCTCCAGGATCTTGAGCTTCTCTCGAGTCTCGGCGCTCTGCTGCGCCGCCGCCAGGATCATGTTGGCGCACCTGTTGCGCTCCAGCTTGATGACGTTGTAGAGCTGGGAAAACTCCTTGAGCCTGCAGCCAGTCACGCCACCCGCAGTGAGCTCCGCAGGCAGGGGCCTTAAACCCCAACAAACACACAATACGGTACCCTGGCTCATACAGAGAATCAGAATCTTTATTTATTCTGGAGGAATGCAATGAACTATGTAACTCTTTTTTACAGATGTCCACATAGACGATGATTATCTTTGTAGACCACATAGGCTGTTCAAGTTTATTATGTTTACCCAGGTGTGAACTCAAAAGATCAGCTTAGCCTCATACCGACTATAATCACCCAGAAATATCTGTCCTTAACACAGCGCCACGTGGCCCTCACCAAGACAATACACAGTCCTTCAATAAAATTGCACATAAAAATGTAACTATTGATACATAGGCAAGGATTATATTTACAAAGGAACCTTATGGCAGGACCCCGGGGTCCCGAAAACACAGAAGTCAAAATCGTAATTAATTAATGTTTTTTTGGCCACTCCGTCCCACCGCACACATACACGCCGCGACCCACCAGAAATCAATCCTCTCGTTCTTCACCAAGCACCCGTCGTTGCCAAAATTGCCGAAGTCGTAAACAAAACTTTTAAACTTTGATTAGCGCATCGTGTAGAGCTCGTCGAGAGGAATAGATTGCCACATCGTTCGCCTTCAACAGACATAAAATGACGTCGCAACGCAGTTCATGCGAGAGCCGGGGGCTTATGGGACCCCGGGGTCTCGCCATAGGGTTCAAATCATATTTGCAAATGTGGTTGTATCCAGCACTAATCTTTTTCTCCGGGATACTTTTCTAAGGAAGATTTATGGTGTTAAGGGAGGAAACGAGGCTGTTCCAAACCGTTAGTGCTGCAACGGCAAAGGCTTTGGTCACCTATTCCAATTCTTGTTCTAGGGATGGTTAAAGCCATCTGGCCTGAGAGGTTAATTTGCCGTTAAACATCGCCATGCCGTGCAGCTGTGCTTCGCGTCGCTACCTCAACACGATCTCCTGGTGCCTCTTCCTGTGGTCCACGATGGAGAGGTCCTTGGCTTTGACCTCCTGCAGTATCCGTTCGTATCGAATCTACACAAAGCAAATCGCAAGAGTGGTGAGACTCGGACAGGCTAGCCTCAGTCAACAATGACGAGAACATCTTCATTCATAGTCTATCCACTGCCACATGCTGGCCTTCACAGGTCAACGCCACCCATCCATCTCACTCGAGTACACACCCTCTCCGTGGACGTTATCCTCTTCGTACATTCGCTCCCTTGGCTGTCATTCTCTCTTTCGTCTTGTCTACAGCCCACTTAACGTTTTTAAATGGTCAATGCAAATGTTCCCTGGCCTATGCACTCGACCGTCTGTCTCTTCGTATACATTTGCGATGCGCTTCTATAAGTTTTTTCCACTTTGTAACTTTTGTTCCATTTCGATAAATGCAGGTAAATAAGTGAGGCGATCATCTTATGATTATATCTCTTCCAAGGATGACCATCAGTGACAAGTGTTGAGGGCTCAGCGAGCCCAATGTCTCAGAGTATCCGCTAAAGGTGGAAATTCACTTAAAATGACATTAGCCACGGAGATGGCGTGATTAAATTAGAGCGTATGCAGCTGCTAGATACAGTGCTAGACTTCATGACTTAGTGATGGCATCATCTTAGTGTAATAAAAAGGACTCAGACACTTCTTGCTGACTCCGTGTCCTTTATTTGGGGTTCGCGTTCTCCTTCCCACACGGCACTCCTCCTGAGACTCTCTCCCTGGCAGCCCCACATCTGCCTTCGCTCCCGTAGCCTTCCACGCTCCTGCAGCTCCGCTGCAGGCTCTTGGTACAGCCCTCTGGCTGCTCCCCCAGCAGCTCCATCTCTGCTCCCTGTTCCTCCGTGCGTGGCGATCTCGCCACCTCCCAATGTCAGCCCTTCGTGGCCTCTATGGCTATCTCGCCATTTCCTACCTCAATCCTCCACTCTCTCTTCCACCCCGCTGGCTGGCGCCGTCATGAGCCCCTCAGCCACCAGGCTGAGGCACGGCGACCACCCAACGTGTTCACCACCCTTCACTCCCCCGACTGCCCCAGATAGCTTCCTGTCTCCCCGCTATAACTTCTCCCCCACGTCACCCTGACTCCTCCCTCTCGGATCGTCATATCCGCCCCGCCCATTTACGCCCGCATTACATTAGGGAAGCCTTCATCCAGCAGTGGATTGACATAATGATGATTATGAAAATCATCATGTTCACACACTCTATATTCATATTTTAGTCTTGTGATAATTTTTATTATGCCAAGACTAAAATATGAATATGGAGTGTGCAATGTGTTCAAGAGGATTCCTCGACTGCAAGAGGTGTGAGTAATAAAATACTACGCGCCACCTGCTTTCATCACAGTCGACGTGAAAGATCCTCTAGGCCATTGTGCGCCGACGTCACGGTATTTTTTTTTTACAAATTACAAAAATTACACCACAAAAATCTCCATAGAAACAGCAGCAGCAGTCATCGCCCCCTACTGGCCCACTAATGCCCCCTACTGGCAGGCCAGGTCCTGCGTTATCCTGTGCCACACAGGGATACCTGGCAATGGGGGTGCCCTACGAAGGTTCGGGATGAAATGCGATGTAGATGAGTTTCTGAGGGATTTAAACAAGTGCCATATGAATGCAAAATATCATTAGAATTATTATAAATGAGGACACTGGCCATGTCGACTGACGCTTGGCGCAACAGGCGCACACGTACACACGCACACACGCAGGCACACACGCACGCACCTTGGCCTTGGCGCTGTCACGGGACTTCTGCTCGCGCTCCTCGGCCTTCACCTGCGCCAGGTGGAGCAGGCTCCTGAGCTGCTCCCTCAGCTCCGTGTGGAGCCCACCGAGCCGAGCCTCCTCCGCCAGCTGAGCCTCCACGGCACGTGCCTCCGCTTCGCTCAGTGACTCCTGCGGGCGGCGCGGTGGCACACGATGGTGCATGGTGACGCACAGTGACGCACGGTGGCTCTGAATTATATTTGGTCCTCTTTGCTCTAATTGCTATTTTGTTGTGTTTGCTCAAGAGTTTAATTGGCTTAATTGTTGTACTTTGTTATGTTATTGCTTTTATCAATTTAGTGACCACAGTCACCATTGCAAACGAGACTATTCTGGTCTCTTGAGCTCTCATCTGGTTAATCAAAATAAACTTGAAACTTTATTTATTTAAGCCCTTGTATTCACTCGGTACTTGGGCAGTCCTTTGCCATCCTACTGCTGGATGAAGGCCTCTCCGAGCTGTGAGCGCCATGAGGATTACTCTGCGTACTTCGCCTCACTGGTCAGCGCAGGCTCACGGCAGGCAGCCGTCTCGTCCTGAACGTCGACCTCAGATTGTGCTGCACTGCCACCTGCTGCCCACAGCGCAGCTCGAAGTTTAACACTCGTGCATCATTTGCATCACATTTACGTAACAAGTATCACCAATTCCCACAAGCGTGACTATACATCGAGCGTGAGCATAAAAATCGATCTTAAATGGTGACTAATGCATCATTACGCATGTGAGAATAGGTTTCCCTCTATTTTGGTACTAGCAAAGGAGGTTCCATAATGTAGCCATATCATTGCATGCTGAACATGACACCTTGACGTCATTCATCCACAAGGGGGCAGCACCATTCATAAATGCAGTCACGCAATTGTAAATGCAGGTGCACATTTATCTCAACGTGTTGTCTGGATGTATGTGTCGAGTGTTTCTACTGCTTGTGTACACGCAACACTATCGCACGTACCTCCTTTAACAATTGCCTTTTCTTTGCTTCAATGTCATCGCGCAATTCCTTGATTCTGTGTACGTTGGAACCGTCATCTTGGGGCATGGAGTCGACCTGTGGGTCAATACAACGCCGCTCGAGTTCTTGTCCAGGCATTGGTGCTCATCGCCTGTTTACATTTGTTTCATTTCAGTTTCATGTATTTGGTAAAGCCCTGTGAGCCATTCGGCTCTTGAATTGGGTGCAACCGCAACAAACAAAAGTTACACATTATTTTGATGGGGGAAAGTCCACCTATAGGACAACCACTCTTGACTTACAAAAAGAGTACTAGAGTACTCACTTTATCGACCATGATGGAATGACAGGCCAAGACAACACCCCCAACCCTGGAGAGGAGTAGAGTGAAATGAGAGGGGAGGAGTAGGGGACAGTGTGGAGGGGAGACGAGTGGGATGGAAAGTGAGAGGTGGGTCGGGGCTAATCCATGCAGGATCTTCAAGGCAGTGAGTGCAGGATTGAAATTAATGTGGGATTGGATTGGGAGTCAGTGGAGCGATCCGAGTATTGTGCCGATGTGTGACGTGATGTAGTGGGAGGCAATGGGCTGGAGAAGGCGACTGAAGAACGTCTCTTTGGGAAAAAACCAAGAGGAAGAAGAATAACGGCAACACCAGACGGTTTTCAACAAGGACGAACGTGCGGACAAAGACAGCAGCATGGAGTGGGAGAATCGTGTTTTGGAGTCGTCTCTGGAGAGAACACTCGATGATCACGATGTGCGATTCATGCCCAATGCACAGCGCTCCCCATGGGTGGCGCACACCTGCGCATGCGTCTTGGCATGCGCGCTCTGCACGAGCGCCAGCGCGTCACGCGCCGCCTTCAACTGCTTGTCGGCCTTGGCGAGGGCGCGCAGCTCGCGCTCCTTCTCGCGCTCGCGCTGCAGCAGGAGCTCGTGCTGCGCCCTCTTCTCGACGCCGGCGTGGCGCAGACGCAGGTCGCACGTGGCCCTGCACGCGACTCACAAAGACAAAGATCCCCGGTATAGCCTTAACAGACTGTTGGGGCAAGTGCTGTTAGTGGGCGCCTAAGCACACACAGCAACACACACAAAGGCGAGCACAGCACGCAACACACAAAACACCCGCACACGTCAAGGCCGGCAGCATAAGCACGCACGTGACAGCGAGCTCGGAGGCAGCCGCGAGGACTCATTGTAGGCAGTAGGGGGCAATGCCATAGCAGACATTTAGTACGTTCATGAGAGACCTATTAGAATTCTCGCTTGCATTTTCCTTTAACAATCTTTATATCAGAGCAGATCCAGCAACAGTTTTTATTCCGTACGTTTTATATTTGACCGCAAGTTTACTTGATTGTGATGCATAATTGATGATGAGTAATGCTGACACTCGACAGTATAATTTGGAATATAGTAGCAGATAATCGTTCAAATCCTGATCAAGGGTAGACTCGGATCATTGTCTCCCTGGAATCGGACCAAAGGAATACCACATCATGCAGAGTCGAAGTTGTAGTCAAATGGATAAACGGGCCCCCATCATAGGATTGTGGACTTTTCAACAATGACTCATAGCTACCAATCGAGATAAGCAACGTGAGGTTGGTAAACAATATGACACCCGCCAATACGGGTCCCGTAGAATCTGCAATCAATTGCAGAGTTCCTCATGGTGGTGGCGATTGCCCCCTAACGGTCTGTCAGACCGCCGTGTTAGTAACCCCCTGTGTAGCGCTTTGTCTGTGTGACAGTGGCATGCTGTGACGGGTCATAACAAGGTCTCTGTGGAGCGGTAGCATGGTGGCTGGCGAAGTGCGCTATTGAACCCCGCGGCATGCGTTCGACTCCCATCCACGGCTAACATCAGTGGCGAGTGACATCGAAATGATCCTTGGCCTCCCATGGGGCCATTCAGTTTTAAATGGGTACCTTGTGCAGTGTGAAGATAAGGGTGGACAGGTGTGGAACGCGTCACAACACCCGCTCATGCGTTCTTACGATCTTCATACGCACTTTTTATTGAAATGTATATTTCATATTAATATCAGCACATGTACGATTGTGTGCATATGTTAGGAATGCGGTGACCTAGGTTTTATTCCCAGTCATGACTAACATCATTGGCAAATAACTGAATGGGTTCTGGGCCTCCCCTAGGTGAAATTAGTTTTCAACTAGTGTCTGCTGCTCGTCATGTGACGGCTTCATACTCTGTGCCAGCCTTCATTGGTGCTCGTGAACAGTCGACGTAGGCCACGTGGGGGATTTGTATTAGACGTTTCGGCAGCCTTTGACAAAAACTCATATTGCAACTTTTGAGTTGAAATGTGAATTTACATGAGAATCGGAACCTGAATCTTGATTTATTCCTGGAGAAATCCGATAAAGCTATGAGGCTTTTTTTTGCAGATGTCCAGGAAAAATCCTTTATCTTGGTGCCGTGAACAGGGTTTGTGGCGTCGTACCGGTCGCCCAGGCGCTGGGCCTCCCGCTCTCCAGCGAAGGCGAGGTCTCGTGCCAGCCTCTGCAGCTCGTGCCGCTGCGCGTCCAGCTGCGTACGCCGAGCGTCCAGCTCTTCTGCCACCGCTACCGCCTCGTGCCGTGCCTCCTCCGCCCGCACCGCTGCCCCCGCCAGTGCGGCCTGGGCATCTCGGCTCTGCGCCTCCAGCGCCGCCCGCCGCTCCTCCTGCTCCCTGCAGCACAGGAGTGACGCATCGTGCACACTTTCAACAGATCTATTAATTATATCCGCGAGGGATTTTGGTCATTGTAAAGCTGCCCCACCCCTATCAGAATGGCTTTTCCGATGAATGTAATGCATAAAATTATGGATGTGTTTCAGACAGTCATTCCAACTACTCATAACCTAAAAATATACACCTATATCACTAGTCACAATCCAAATATAATAATAAATAACATAAGTATAAAAATAATAAAATTATAAAATTTACACAAATATTATTAACCTTTTCAGGGAACTCACTAAAAGATCTGCATGTTGGAATGACAGGCGAGGTGACGTGGAGGCGTCACCGCTGCACTCTAGGGACACCGTGACGCCATCCAGGCTAATTCTTGTTTGATGATCTCGTGGCGCATGCCGTAGTGAAATTTCGTGAATGTGGAAATTCGATTTCATTAATCGAAAAGTGTCCATAATTTGTCAATTGCATAAATGCGACATTTCGTAAATAGAACGTTTGTAAATCGAGGGACACCTATGTACAAATCAGAACAGGAATTGAGTAATACATTTCCACAAATGGCTCAAGGCCTGCCAACGGAGGTTGAGTATTGCCCCACCGCAGAAATACACATTTTGACGTCTGATCTCGATCGCTAATTCTGACTGACACTGATGTATTTGACAAGGAGCTTGTGTTGCCATTACTGTTTGCAAAGTTGAATGAATCACGCACTGTTTTTTGTGCTCCACCGCCTTGATCTCCTTCATAATCTCTCCGGGAACCATGTGGATCTGGACCAGTTCATTCTGCAAGAGATGATGCGAGGAAGACGACAACGTACGAGTGGAAGTGCACACATTCAGACTCGGAGAACGTGCCCAGTGACTGAGTCAGTGACTGAGTCATTGCAGCTGTTCACAGTTTTACAACATAAACGCCTCTCCTCCCGACTCAACCGACTCCCCTCCATCTTGTTCCACTCCCCTCCATGTACTCTCCCATCTCTCCCCTCTCATCTCACTCTACTCCCCAACAATCTCCCATCTCTCCCCTCTCATCTCACTCTACTCCCCAACACTTTACTATCTCTCCCCTGTCATCTCACTCCACACACTTTCCTATCTCTCCCCTCTCATCTCACCATACATCCCTCCATGAACTCCCCTACCTCTCCCCTCTCATATCACTCTACTCCCTTGCACACTTCCCTACCTCTCCCTTCTCATCTCACCCTACTCCCCTCCACGCACTCTCCTCAATTTCCCTGTGCAAGTGCACACCATTGCAAGCGTTACCTTAAGATTTTCCCGCAGAATCTTCTGCTGGTTCAGGCTCTTCTGCTCCCGAATCATTTGCCCTTTCCTGCTTTCCAGCTCCTCCTGCAGACTCTGCACCTCTGCCTTGCGCTGGGACACCTCCCTACGTAGATCTTCGCAGCCCTCCATGACCAGCTTGGCCTTTCTCTCCAGATCCTATGGGGGGGAGGGGGTGTTGTTAATTAATGATGAGAAAAAGTCAAAGTGTATACGTACGCCCTTTCGTCAATCCACTACTCAATGAAGGCCTCGCCACTGGGGTTGCCACTTTTCCCAAACATGGACATATGTTTCAGAGAGCACTAGGTCTATAGCAACCCCCCGCTATAAGTTAAACACATTATGTATTGTTTCGCACGTACATTTCTGTTGAATTAGGGAACATACTTCCTTATAAGTTGCATTTTTCGCATGTGTTCTATAAAAAATATATGTGCACATTTTTTGCGCAATTTTTTAACTAGGAACGCGAGCAGTGAAACCTATTTTGCTGTGGAATGCTCTACTGTAAAGCACACAGCGCATACCACATCGAGAAGAGTCCTCCGTGTGCTACATGACAATGTGGTGGAGTCAGACAATGTGGTGTAATTGCTAGTGACGAGTTGTCACATAAGGATCTGATGGAGCTGGAACAACGAGCTGAGGGAGAGGCCGATGAAACGATACCTCCACCACAATCATCACCACCACCACCACCACCACGATGAATATGAACTGGCATTCACTACTACAAGGAGCTGTACCAAGAGAAGAGAAACAATTGTGTCCAGCTGTCTTTGGACAGATTTTTTTTACGTTCTGCAATTAAGCCAGAAGGTCCAGAAAAGAGGCCAGAGGAGAGCCAGCTTCCTCTGGTGCACTCTGCTCTAGCTCCAGCTTCATCGTCAGATGCAGGGGCACGTGACACTGCCACTTTATTTGTCTGTGTAACTCCACCACGTCTCACCCCAAGAGGTATCGATCAGCAAGCTCTTTAATAATCTCAGGTAAGTTGTATCCAATTATTTGTATTTAATAAAGTTAGAATGCATGTTAACTTATGACATGCATAATAATTTTTGTACACTTCATGATATTCAGTCACGTTTTTGTCATGAAAAGTCGGCTAGTAATGCAACCCCTTTGGGAAAATTAAGGTTTGTTTAAAGTATTTTTTAGTTATGTAGCATTTCCCAGGAATGCATTCCCTTACGTAAAACGGGGGATTCCTGTATTATCAAAACTTGTGCAGATAACTGGGATACAATTTGAACACAATACCAGTCCCAGGTCACGGTAGAAATCAATTTCTGCCATGTTTCTCCACCTTACTCTGCACGGGTCGTGGGGCTTGAATGGCCATGCTTCACCACACTGGTCTGTGTAGATTGGTTTGGGAGCATACAAATACAGTACGATGGATGTTGCTGCATTACTCGATGATACCCACGACATAGCCCTGCAGCAACTGCAACACTTGTTATACACGGTGGTGATTCACTTGAAAGAGTTGGGAAATGCTTGCCCATCATCAGTTAAGGCAATGATATATGAAGTGCAATGACCCTCCTCCAGAGCTGATACAGATTCGAAACTGTGTCACGCTTACCCCTGGCTTTGGCATGCGTTCATATTCCTTTTGAAGCAAATTCTTCTCATCTTGTAAACTGAGATATAAAACAAAACAGCACATCTCGTGAGAAATGCATTTAACATCTCCGTGTGTGTGTGTATGCATGTGTGTGTATGTATGTGTGTGTATGTGTGTGGGGCTAGTTGGAGGCAGTTGCCCTTAGACAACAGAGGAGTGCAGAGGAGCGATGCTCACAACAACGAGCGCAGTGCCGGGTGCCTAAAAGCACAGGTGGTGCATCTGCCAGTTAGCGCAGTCAGTCAACCCACGACCCTGGGTCTGTCCCATGATCTCCTGCCAGCGAGCCTTCAACACTTCGCGTGGCCTCAAAGTGCACCTAGCCTGGCACAAGTGCCGTGTTGACATCATCACCACTTAGTGGCCAATGGCGGCTGTTATTATTGTGGCTGGTGTAATAAATACCCATGAAGCCAACAGAAGAGACCACCTGACTAGCTTGACGAATGGTATGAACAAGTGCCGTGAGCAAGCACTTATTCAGGCCAGCATGGCACACAGGGTTATCACCTGTCTGGGTTTGACCCGAATAGTGTTTAAATTGGATCTGTGTTTGTGTGGCAGAAATTTCTTTGTACTGAGATTTAGTGGAACTGTGTTGAACTTTTTCATAAAACAGATCCAGAATGACTGAGAAAGCTGTCCAGGCTTGGATTATGGAAAAGGTGGCAACTGCCTTTGTCTCCCCTCTTTCAATATTCACACATCATCTGATTAAGATTCTCAAATCTGGGACAAGCAACATTAGTTATTAGTGACTGGGCTGAAACTTTCAATTAATTCATTTTGACAATCTGATGAAGATGGAGTGGCCACCTTGATTCAAACCCAGGATCTGTAGTGTCTTGGCTGATAGTGCAGCTGTGTGTGGGTCTCTGAGACCTCTGGATCTTGTAGTGCAGCTGAGTGTGGGTCTCCTCGCTCTGAGACAGGGCATTGTGGTGACGCAGCAGCTGGGAGCGGAGCCGCCCCACGTCCGTGCTCTGCCCGTCGGGGAAGGCGTCGGCACTCTCCAGCTGCCCCCTCTGGCCCTGCAGCTCCTCTGTGTAGCGCTTCGTCTCCCGGAGCAGCGCCTCCTCCGAGTCGCGGGTCCTGCGCCACGCGATTGCACGATAATATTTTTTCTATTTCGCTTATTTACCTAGTAAAGCCTAGCTGAGTCTCAAATTGTATGTTTGGTTTACGACATTGCCGGACAGCGAATCAGGAATTCATTAGCGGCGATCGATACGAAATCAAGACGCCAAGTTTACAAAAAACTCTTTGTAACTCTCAACCACTGATAACAAACTTCCGCATTCTCCGGTCATTGCTCAATGGGGAACAAAACGATGGTGTTGTACAGATGAAATCTGGGAATGCTGCAGGTCTTCATGGGATTCATCCAGAATTCATCAAGAAATTAGACGATGAGTGAGAATTTTTTTTGGCACTTTCCTCACCAACATCCACTCCTCAGACATGGTACCACAGGAGTGGAAAGCAGCTACGATTATAGACTTTCTTAAACCCGGCAAGGATGCATCGGATGCTAAAAACTAATGCACAATTTCCCTCCTCAGTGTCGGCTATAGCAAATGGAGTGACTCCTGCTTCAAAGGCCGAAGCCTACGTTTGAGGATATAGTTCCCGAGGAATAAGTCGGGTTCAGAACCGGGCGACATTGCTGCAATCAAGCATTTGCTTTAACGAGCTGCATTCAGACAGGCTTCGAAAGTCAGCTCAAAACAGCAACAGCCTTGATTGACCTCTTCACGGCACACGATACCACATGGCAGAAGGGTCTCCTGCTCAAGCTTGTGACAGCTTTACATCGCCGTCCACCAATCGGACTCATCACAGAAATAATGACTGACCTATGCTTCACCCTTGGTGAAGTTGCCAGCAAGCAATCCACGAGGTTTGAACAACAAACTTCCATGGGCATCTATTCTTGCCCCAGCGCTGTTCAATCTCGAGACCGGCAGCATTTTGGTGACATTCTCCAACAGGCTCAAGAACGCGGATGACATCGCGTTGGTAACCCAAGCCCGGACAATAGAGGACACTGGAAAAGTACTCGGTAAAGATGTAAAGCCCCTAGAAGCAAATTTCAAGAATTGGCGCTTCAAGTCAAATGTCTCCAAGCGCGATGTCTCCGTTTTCCTCCTGGACAAATGCCAAGCCACGAAAAATGTCAACTACTGTGGAACAACACCCCTAACACATGACCACCGACTGCCACCAGCCCAAATGAGCCAACAGGAAAAAAAACACAAGTGAGCATTATTCTGAAACGAGGGGAAGCCACGCCTGCACGTTAAAGATATCGACGCAAGCTCTGTTCCACGCCACAATGGGGTCGTACTGCGCTCCCGTGTGGAGTGCCGGCTCTCATGCAAACCTTGTCGATACCGAAATCAACACCCAAATGCGTATCATCAGCGGCATCCTGAAGTCCACTCCACTCCTGTGGCTTCCCGTGGCAGCGAATATCGCCCCAGCCAACATCCGATGTGATGCCGCGACGACCAGGGAGCACCACAAGGTGATGGACAACAACGCTCTGCCGCTTCAACAACACCTACAAGTTAACACGCAGACTTTCGCGACCAATAGTATTCATTATAAAGGATTCTGGTTAGATCCCGTGAACATAAATGTGTCATTAACCCACGACCACCGGACACAATCCTTATGAATTGACTGTCGGGTGGTGGGTTAATGACGTATTTATATTTACGCAATCTAACCCAAAAACCTATATTTTGACCACCTAAAAGAACCCCCACGCCATCGGCTGAAATGCAAAAAATATTTCTGGTTGCGTGCCTCTGCTCTAGCAGCCGAAAGTAAAAACATTGGCACTCACTGGACAAAATCGTGGGCGGCTATGGATGTGGCAAACAACAAAACCTCACAGAGGGTGTGACTGTGGAATAACCGTGCTTCTCACTCCAACAACCACTGTGGGCCTCACTACACTCGAACGCTGCGCGGGAGACGCACGTCCACCTTCCACAAACAGACGATCATCACAGAATCGCCAAACTGCAACCGTGGTGAAGTCCAAACCATCAAATGCTTCACCGACGAATGAACCGTCCATGTAACATCCTGGGCGGCGTCGCTGTGATCCAAAAAGCGTCGACTTCTGCCTCCTTCGATTGGTTTAAAAAAATTCAATATTCAACGAGAATGCAGTTCAAAAACATTGCTTTTCTATCCTGCCATTAGAAAAAAGAAGACTGCTAAGATGCGATGTTTACACACCGCGTCAGGTACTCCCTTGAGGCTGAGTCGACCTAGGAGAGGCCTAGGACTGGTTCAAATATGCGTCACTGGTGTTGCCCGTGAGTCGGAATAAAACTCTGGTGGCTGGATTTGTAGTGCAGCGCGCTAACCGCCAGACTCCCGCCCCCCACTGCGGTCACAGCAACACACTCACACCCACACTCATGACACTGCAAGGTCACAACACTGCACTTTCCACTGCCTCCCTCTCACTACTCCACTTTGCAATTCCCTCCCATCATCTCTTTTTCCCACGCTCTTATCACAATAACTTTGCTCAATCCCAGAAACGTTATTCCACACTTACGATTAGCACGGTTGGCTACGTACAGCGTTAAAGAAGTTCAACATACATACGTTACACGCTTATCTATTACAACTTTGATTGTGCTGTCGATTGCTGGCTGCTCGACGTGTTGGGCCTTTGGGCCCATGCTCAGCAACTGTAGATGTTTACAAAAACAAAACACACTGCAGGTCTTGTCATGCAGCTGCGGGCACTGTGGTTCTGTGACACCACTGGCTCGTTTAGTGCAAGCTGTGTGTGACGCTTCAATAGTATTCTTGCAAAAGTGTATATATATTAAGTCTGCCACAGTGTATTTCTCTGTCAATATGAGCGACCTTTATTCTGCAGGAACGCCACGTACAGCCTTTCAGACATTAAACGTTACAAACAGCAGTCGCTTTCAAGCACAGAGTGCGTAGCCCTTTGTCCCTTCTGGCAGTAACATGGCTTTCAATCAGCCAACATAAATATTTACAAATGTAAAAACAAAATTAACAGTGGTTTGTGGGAAATGCTGTATAGGGTTGTGGTCTGGCACTCTACATTTAGGGTCAATTTTCTCTAATTTTTTATTGTGATGTAGGCCTTAATAGACTGTTGGGGCAAGTGCTGTTAGCGAGCACCTATTAAGGCCGGCATGGCACACGAGGGGGTGGGTGGTCAGCACCATACCTGGCCACCTCGTCTCCCCACAATGCTGATGTTGACACACTGCACCAGGTACTCATTTAAGGCTGAGTCAACCGAGGTGAGGCCCAGGACCGGTTCGGTTAATTGCTACTGATGTTAACCACGGCTGGTAATCAAAACCATGTCGCCGGGTTCATAGCGCAGTTCGCTAATCACTACCGCCGCAGCTCCACACATACGTACACAGATACATGTACATTGCATGTGCACAGAAATAAAAAATTAAATAAGGCTGGAGTGGTTAGTGTATTGCATTATCAACGCAGGGACTAAAGTTGTGCAATCACTGGTGACGAGGAAATATGTTTTTTGTTATCGTGGACAATATGAGACACAGTGAGTCTCAAGGCTGTTTCAAGAGATAACTGCATTGGACTTATTTTTCAGAGTACCCAGAGGAAACCAATACAATTTAGGGATAACACTCAAAAGGTTTCACAAATGCATTCACAAACCAAATTGCTGTATTTCCATTGTCTAGACAGCTTATAGTTGGCTGGATTTGGGAATTTAGCAAATCTACACAATTCATCAACCCTTGATTCCACAGTCCTGGTACAGATTGACACACTATCAAATGGCTACACTTGAAAACCCATCACTTTGTGGTCTTATTTACATAATTGTGAAAGGCTGTTGTGATGAAACACTTAGTACCATTACATTTTAGAGTCACTTTACAAATAATTAACAATTGTACTCTGAGTGACCATTTAGATGCAGTTATGCATTTAAATGTAATTGGAGGTGGCCGGGTGGCTCAGAGGTCAGAGCACTGAGCTGGCACCACTGAGCACCTGGGTTCAAATCCATATTTCCACCGCCCGTTATTAACCCTAGTTCTCAATTGCAGTGAGTTGACAGTCCAAGCTCAGTCACCAAAGACTGCACCACAAAAAACTGTTAAACCTGTCTCTGCACACAATTAGGATACATTCTAGGTTTGACTGTGACGCGATAAACAATAGACTTGGTGTAGCAGCGTGGGTGGGGGGATGTGCTGCCTCCTTCTGTGTGGACCAGACAACATTTGGAGAGATCCGTGATATCCACTTCCGTGGGCTGTCCTGTAACACGAAGGGTCGCACTGCTCTGCAGGAGTTCCATTAGGGATCTTAGTCGTATGACGTGATGTAGAGATATATTGGGAAAAATAAATACGTTTTAATGTCGCTATGCATGTAAATACATACTATTGATGTGCCTCCCAATTTCAGATTAATCCAAAAAAATATTCCAATCAGGACTTTCAAAGGATCGGAATTTGTTTTGTTTTAATTATTCCGCATGGGAAGTCACACCACTAATATGATGTCACTTGTTATTTTTCCAAGAAAAATTGTGTCATGTGGTACCTAATGACTTCACTCTTGTGAGCTGAATTCGCACAAACATACAACACAATCTAAACGATTTGAAAATCTGAAAAGGATCCAAAAGTTAATTTTCAAAAATCGACAGCTGAAATCTTTCAAATATGAATCTCATCTCGACTACATTCTATGAAAGTATACAGATGTGAGAGGGTAGAAGGCTGCTTGTACACTCTTCCCTGATGTATGTTCTCATTCTCTGCGGAGATTGAAGTTTGTACCAGCTCAAGTGGATACAGGTCAGTCTTAGTGTAACCCGGTAACCAATGAACTTGACTCACAGTTTGAAAGATTCCTGCAAGCGGCTGTACAGCTCCTTGAGCTGGGCAACGCGTGCACCCGTGATCTGGCCTGCGTGAAACAGCTGACACACAAGCAGGACCAATACGGGATTAGGGTGTTCAACTGTGTATGTGATACTTTTGTTAACGTTTTACTTTAGTTTTTATACAAGCACAATCGATGGGGCTTTGTTTAGCTCTGACAATGGTCGTGATGACGATTCAACATTCCATGAGAGGGAGGCAGCCTCTCAGAATAAGAATACTTGGTGTTGTATCTGTGCCTCTGAGAAGTGGCATGCATTTCATCTACCCTGGAAGGATGACAAGACTGCGTTTATCACTGAAACATATTTAAACTTGCAATGTTCTAATTGTGAGACGTGAGCCCTGTTCACACATCTTTAAGTTTGTGTTGTACAGCCTGCGACACAGCCAATATTTGTATTTGCAAGATTATAATGACGCGTTTTTTTCTTCCTTTTGTCTTCCTTCCGATTAGCATGGTTATAAGGTGCAAAATAAGTCCAACATACATACATTTAACATTAGCTGACATTTACCTGATCGAGGCAGTGGAAGGCTGGGCTGGCAGACACCTCCACAAAGCTCTGCTGGAGAGAGGAGATGGGAGGTGGGCAAGGGAGGAAGGGTCCCCGAATTTCAACCGGTGCCAATGCATCCTCATAGTCCCCTTCATCTCCCTCCCATGCACCTTCCTCTCCCTCCTCCTCCTCCTCCTTCCCACTCCCCACCTCCACCCTCTCCTCATCTCTCTCTGATTTTTCCAGCTGCTCCGCATCTTCTGTTTCCTCCTCCTCTTCCTCCTCTTCTTCGTTCCACTCTCCATCATCTTCATGGTCACTGCTGCTCATCCTGAAGCTGTGTAAATACAAAACACAGGGAACACACATCCATGATACTCGTGTAATGAGCGACTTCCACGACACGTCGTGTAGAGGGTACTTCTTCTTTTATTACTCACACTGGGCACAACACAGGCCAACCTTATTCTTCTCACTCTGAGTACAACACTTAGATATTAACGTCTCTACTGGTTACACATAGCCGATCACTCGGCGTGGTCCCACCGCCCTCACTCAGCCACGCCGCTGGCTGGCGGCGCGACGATGATTACGATGGAAACCCCGCAGATCTTCCACGTGGCCGGACGACGGAGAGAGATGTCAGGACCCAAGAATCCACACACGAACCCCCGGGTCCGCTCCCCCTTATATCCCCCCAGGCATGGCTAGGCCCCGTCTGCGGCCACGCCCTCTCGTGGAACCTTCCAGCAGGTTCCCTGAGTATCTCGGCTCACTCCACCTGCTACCTTTGCCCCAGATACCTCTCCCTCTCCGATTGGGTACCCGTGCTTCCCTTTCCCAGCCAGCAGGTGTCATTATGTCATTACACTAGGGATGAAATGTGCGTTATCTGATAGAAAATAATATGACGTGGATTAAATTCTTATTTCTCTATTTTCCCCCTTGAAGTGTAATGCACTTGGTTCATCAATCTCCCAAGGAGTTATCTGTGTAAGTGATTCTGTATTTGTGGAATCATGTAGAAATCACTGAGAGCCAGGTCTATTTGGTATAGATTGCTTTTATATTCCAAGTATTTTATTATTTAATTGGTCTGAATTTTTCAGATTTCTGTATGTCTCTTTGCCAACACATGAATAAGAGTTTGCAATGAACGAGGTGCTGAAATGTGAAAATTGGTAATCCTTAAAAGAGGGGTACTTTAAACTTAACATTAACCCTTTGCCGGAGCATCCACTCTGTCACAGGTGTGCGAGGTAACGGACTTCTTCATTACCCCTCATATCCAGGAGTTCAAGCGCCATGAATGGAGAATATGCACCGAGAGCCCTCCATCTCAATTAGCAGAATACACGCAGCCTGGCATACAAACAAATGACCGGGAATGCTCCCGATCTTGCCAGAATCTCAGAAGCAGGCCTGAGCCAGAATGGTGCTTGTACGGGCGACCACCAAGTACAAAACAGGTGCTCTAGGTTTCTGCGAGGCTCCCTTGTCAGCAGATGGCATCCCACACTGACCAGGGTGGAGAAATATGTTCCAATAACTCCCATGACTCACATGGCATGAAGAGGTTCTCAACGAGCAGTGGATTGACAAAGAGCTGTACACGTGCATTCACCCACCTGTTGGACTACAACATGACCAGGTGGCGGCAGTACAGAAAGTAGGCCGGGAGTCTCTTTCCAGATTGTTTACGGTTGACTCTTGGGACACCGGTTTACTACTCCCTGGTGCAAAATAACGCACGCAGTGAGAAACACTGCAGGCGGTCCAGGTGGGAACCTTGCAAAAAGGGTCTTGAAACTCGACATTAAATGCAAACTTTCCTCCCATGTCCCGTCCGGGTTGGCTGTAGAAGAGAGCGTCACTGCTGGCCGTGTGTAAGAACCATGACAGGCACATGGGACAACTGAGCAAGAGTGCATGAGGACAGTTCTGTTTGGTTCAACGATAACAACCGTTGCCAAAACAATCACAAACTCGTGTCAAATTAAACAACTCAAGAGATGTAACAGATGTTCTGATGACGATTCAGTTAACTCGAGAACAGTTAAACATGGTACAGTAAATTGGTCTATTAATTTAGGACTATATTCTTGTCTGTGGCTGCCTTGTTTTTGCTTTACATAACTATGGCTGCAAGTCAGTAATGTGACATTATTTGCGAGAAGTCTCTTAACTCGCTTTTGTTATCAACAGCGTACATCACGGACTTGAATTACAACTTACAGCCCTTTTACCCACATTACAATAGACTGGATGACGGTAGAGATTTTCCCTTTGATGTTATGCCTGTTAATTTTATCCTACAGTTAACAACAAAAAACCCATTAAAAATCATGTTATAAACTTGAAAACAACGGGAGGACAGACTGTTTGACGCACTGTGTACACAGACGCTGGGTTTTTCTACCCTAGTAACAACAATACTAATTACATTGTAATGCTCGGAAGCCGGCAAAAAGAGGTAAAAGAGGTGGGGGGCCTTCAGGCGTCTCTGAGAACGAGAAGTGTGGATTGAATGCTGCAAATGTGCAGCGGGATGCAGCCGAGTGTTAGGATTGCTGCTATGTGATGTATGGTGCTGCTACGAACAAACAAAACACCTGGTTAGTCAGATGAAGGCCGGCACGGCACAAAGGGGGATGGGTGGCCAGCACCACCCCTGGCCGCCTTTGTCTCCCCAGGTACTCATTTGAGGCTTAGTCGACCCAACCTAAGGGAGGCCCATGGGTGGTTCAGACAATCGTCACTGGTGTTGCACTGCCGCTCCCGTCCGTATGTTACATGCACATGCCGAATTCTCTACACAGAAAGCAAATAGTGAGTCTGGGGAGAAGTATTGATTGAGGCCTTAAGGTTTATTACTTGTAAACATTGAGGTAGACAGTTCAAAAATCCACTTTATGGGGCTGGCGTTTGCTTCCTGTTCTTAACTGCACCGTTTAAAGACGCAATGGAGTGCCATTCGTATGACTGCTTAAACATCAATAGCCACAGTCCCGTCACAGTTTCCCACAACGTTCCACTTATAATACTGACACATACGCAGGACACGATTGTGTCAGTATTATACCAAGGCACAAGGCGCAGTCATTTTGTCAATCCACTGGCGCACGAGGGCCAGTTGGCTCTGCCTCGCCACGCTGCTCCGTGTGGGTTGGTGAAGGTGGGGGATCACAGCCGTGGGATAATTGAAATACCTCATGTGAACGATTGTGAAATATCGTGCTCTTTTTCTGCGTGAATTATGACTCATGAACCTCTTTGCCCCACGCGGATGCCCAGAATAAACACCTCATTTGCCACTCAAACACCATATATCTCCTGGCTTTGACATTCCTCAAAGACACCATTCACCACATCACAACATTAACAGGCCGCTGCGTAAATTTCTTTCATGAATGTAAAATTGACAGCCACAGTCGTGCGATTGTGGCCATGCAACTGTGGGCCGCAGAGTAAACCACCGTAGCCTGCGCTCCTTCAAAGGAGGACGAAGAGCAATAGTACCCAAACTCTCTCCTGATACCCTCTCATCACTGGCAGACATTGGCATTTAACTCCTGAACATGAAGATTTGTGTTACAGTCCAACAATGGATTTTGCTGCACGGCCCCATGATGACCACCAAGTAGCAATGCCCCGCAGTCGCCTATTGACGACCCTGGCGTGCATGGTGGTCACTCGTCACGTGCACTATCTCCAGGCGCGACATTCTGCTCAGATTCCATTCTCTGTCATGGTTGTGTTACACAAGAGCAACGTTTCTTCGTCGGCTGGGTATTACTCTATACAAGCATACCTCACTGGTGGAGGCTTGCATTGCACACGAGTTAATGTTTCAACAGTTAAAGCAAACAACAAAGTTAAGCAGTGAAAGAGGCTCTCTGCTCAAATAGGCAAATGAAACAGTGCTCATCTCTGTCAGCAACTCTGAGCTAGTGGCGAAAATTCCACATTACCACAACGGGAACCAGCCTCTACATCTAGATCGGTTCACCATCTGTTCATCTGTGACGAGAATATCCGGGCAGGTGACTCAGTGAGCAGTTTAGAAACCGTGCAGTCGCAAGTTCACGTCCCGGTTGGGGATTGACTCGGCCCATCACCCCTCCGTGGTCGATAAAAAAATAGCACCACTTTGTGGGGAAGTCAACAGTGGTTGTCCGAAAGAAAAACCCATCCCCACCATACGAATATGGGATGATTGACTTTCAGTGTCTTTTTGAACAGTCCATTAACACCTGTCGATAAAGGTACAACACCCTGCACCACAAGCCTGGCGGGGAGCCTGCCTCTGGCAACACAACCAGTGTTGAATTAACACAAAGTGGTTCTGATTGCATCTACCGGCTGGGTCGAAATCCATATGAATTTTAACTCACAACTTTTCCTTTGTGAGCAATGCACGTGTCTCTCAATTAATGTATTTCCAGTCTTAGGCATGGAGCGTATAAAGGTAATGTACATGGCAATACAATACGATGTCGATTTACCGTATACCGTGTCTTTATGTGACTCGACCTTGAAAAGGCATTTGACAGGGTCCCCCACGACCTCATCTGGCACTCGCTTCGATCCCATGGAGTCCCTGAAACCTACGTGCATTGGGTGCAACTCCTATACAAGAACGTCACCAGTGCAGTCAGGTGTGCAGTGGGCATATCACCGCCATTTCCCATCAGCGTTGGAGTGCACCAAGGATCGGCCCTGTCACCACTCCTGTTTATCCTGTGCATGGACACGATCACTGCCGACCTGCACACGCCCCTGCCATGGTCAATTCTCTACACAGATGACGTCCTTCCTCTCAGATGAAGAGAGAGAAGTGGAAAGACAAACGCGCCTGTGGAAGGAACGCTTGGACGAAAACGGGATGAGGTTCAACATCAAAAAGACGGAGTATATGGAGTGTGGCCCCAAAACCGACGGCACCATCAGCATTGACGGAGAAGATCTGAAGAAAGTGACGGACTTTAAGTACCTGGGCTCCACCATCAGCTCAGATGGTAGCATCACGACTGATGTGAGGTCACGAGTCAATGCGGCATGGATGAAGTGGAGGCAAGTCACCGGAGTCCTCTGTGATCGGAAAATGCCGGATAGGCTGAAGGAAAAAATTTACAAGACCATCGTCCGACCGGTGGTACTCTATGGATCCGAGTGCTGGTCAGCCACAACTGTACACGAACAAGCTCTCCACACCATGGAGATGAGGATGCTCAGATGGAGCCTCGGACTCACTCGATGGGATCGTGTCATGAACGAAGACGTTCGGAAGCGACTTGGTGTGGCCCCCATTGTGGACAAGATGCTTGAGGCAAGGCT